CTTGCATTTTTTGTTCTGGAGTTCTATTTTGGGACTCCATGTCTGCTAAGGAGATGCCCTCGAAGTTGAAGAAGAGTAAGCCCGAGCCGGAGCCATCGGTGCCGAAGCCCTTGCTTCCGAAGCCCCTGGTTAAGAGGTCGGAGGGGCAAATCCCGGCGGCTTTCCGTGCCCGGCCCATGCAGCTGCCCACTTACCAGCTGGTGCAGCCTCCGGCCATCAATATCAACATCTTTGCAGGCTCCTCTGCGGCTGGAAGCTCAGGCAGGGGCATGATTTTTTTTCAGTTATACATTTAGTTATAAGTTATTCAGTTTTCACTGGAGTTTTTTTGAAACTCCAGTTTTGTTTTGCCCCTGCAGATGCCATTGCTGGCCTGATGCCGCTGCTGTCATCCCTCGTGGGCGGTGGTGGCCGTGGTGCCCCTTTGGGCAGAGGTGCGGGGCCGATCATCACGGAGGTGCCACCTGGTCTGGAGGATCGCCCGGATGAGGAGGATCCCGAGGAGGAGGAGAAGAAGAAGGGTGATGGTAAGGGTGGTGGGGATAAGAAGAGGAAGAGGGATGAGGAGTGATGCGTTTCACCCACTGTGCAGCATGCATCTTCCAGGGCGATGATGATCAGAGCGATCGTGCAGAAAAAAGTGTTGCTGTTCGTGCAGTTGTGCTGTGCATGTGGTGTTGTTCTTTGCACGGCTTCATCATCCATGCTTTTTGCAGGAGTGTCTTGGCACTCCTGAAGATTGGTCTCGGCCTCAGAGTGGTGTACAGTCTGTAGCAGTGCTGACCTTGTGGGTGTGTTGTTGTGTTTGCATTGCAATGTTTTACTGGAGGCTTGGTGGACCTCCTGATCATGGATGTTGAGGCCGGGAAGAGCAGGTTTTATTTAGGGTTTAGGGTTTTTAGGGTTTAGGGGATTTTGGGTTTTAGGGTTGAGGGGTTCATTTGGGCTTAAGGTTTTTAGGGGTTTAGGGTTTGGGGCTTTGGGGTTTAGGGTTTTAGGGTTTTAGGGGTTTAGGGTTTAAGGGTTGAGAGGTTTAGGGGTTTAGAGGTTTAGGGGTTTAGCTTTTTTTTTGTGGTGTTTAGGGGTTTTAGGGCTTATGGGTTTTAGGTTTAAGGGTTTTGGGGTTTAGGGGTTTTAGGGTTTAGGGGTTTGTTTTAGGGTAGAGTGGTTTACAGGTTTTGGGGTTTAGGGCTTTCTGG